TTCGCAATGTCCAAACTAACGGCCAATGGGCCAATGGAGGAGGCCCTTGGACTCTACTACCTCCGCCCATCTGTGAGTTAGGTAGACCAGAAGATCACCAGCTGACCGACCACGGCGAAAACCGTATTGGCGGTCACTAATCAGCTGGTGATCCTCAAGGTACCTCATGAGCTGGCAGTTTACAATGGACTCCATTATTTTGGAGAACAAGGAGGTGATGGCGATAGGCCGGTAGTTGGACGGGTCTGAGCGGTCGCCTTTTTTAGGGATCGGGTGGACGAAAGCCGTCTTCCATGATTTTGGGACTACGCCTAGGGAGTAGGAGTATCGGAAAAGACGCGTTAAAACCGGTGCCAACTCTGGAGCACACGCCCTCAGCACAATTGGGGGATTCCGTCAGGCCCACTCGACTTGTGGATGTCCAGGGAGAGGATTGCTTTGCGAACCGAGCGCTGTGTGAACTGCGCTTTCGGCATGGATCACTCACACCGCGGGATGGTCGGCGGCGTACTCCCCCCGTCATCGAGAGTCGAGTTGGACGCAAAGAAAGAGCCTAGAAGATCGGCTTTCTCCTTTGCGGTATGGGCCAGTGAGTCGTCCTCCCTGTGCAGAGATAGAAGAGATGGCTGACAGAAATTCCCCTGGACAGCCTTGGCGAGAGACCAGAATGCACGGATTCCAGAAGGAAGGCGAACTAGTTTCTCGCCAATTCTGCCTATGTGCTCTGACTTTGCCTTGGCAATGACTCTTTTAAAGGACGTAGAGGCGGAATTATACTTCTTTTTAGAGCGCTGGTGTTTACATCCCGGGACGCTGATGCGCCAGGCCAGGCTTGGTAGCACTCCTGCTTATAGCATATGCTATTTTACAGGAGCGACCAAACCATGGCTGAGATTTGCCTCCAATGGGCACCACAGAGGAAGGAGTAAAAAGTTCCAACCATGAAGTACCACATCAGCGACAGAATCCGCAACAACGTTGGGGTCGTCCGGCGAGAAGCAAACCCGCCCTCAAGGGTAGGATGCAAAGAAAGACCGCATCCCATCCCAATCGGCTGACCTATAGTGCCAAACACGGCGGCAGCCTGCAGAATGCAACTGCGATTTCAGCGTGAATGGCACCACACTCCGGACAAGACAATGGTCCGAGGAGCCTAAAGGGGCGTCGACGGAAATCTGATATCCGTCCGGGTGAGAGGTCAGCAGAAGGTTCAACAGGGAAGGTGCATGATCCTCCACATCTGGAATCCGCGCAGGCGAAGTAACCAGTTGTGTCAGACCATATGCCAAGGCAAAATCATGAACAGATCTCCCCGCATGATCGGTTAAACGTGAACCAAGCCATTCGGCGTGATGGGCGTTAAAGTCGCCGAGGATCACGATCTCTGCGGAGGGGAACTGCTGTAGCAACGAATCTGTAGGCATTTGGACGTGGTCGAAGAGTCGGTCTGTTTCGGCATTACCGCTATGGGACCTACGGGAGGCACCCGTAGACGCGCGGATGGTCGTCGCTGTCTACGCGTAGCCAAAGGATGGACAGGTCCGAATCTTCAAGTCTGCCGAGGCGTCGAGAACAGATGTCCTCTCTGACGTAAACGCAAACTCCAGCCCGAGGCACAAAGGAGTGTTCCAGTTTGTACCCCGGGTAGGAGAGATACGAGACATCAGCCGGAGAGGACACCTGCCTCTCGGTCAGAAAGAGCAAAGTCGGCCTCGCCGTCTCGAGATGGTAGTGGACGGCGTTTAGGTTAGAGTGAAGTCCCCTGAATTGCAGAAATTCACGGACAGCGTGGCAGGGGTCGCCTTGGTCCTGTTGCTCCGTTTGCCCCGAGCAGTTGTAGTCTTGAGCGGAATTCCCCCCCCCCCTCTGAATACGCGGGGCAGTCTGAGCACCCACACTCAGAAGTGGAGAAACATGGTCGTGGATGCTCAGCGAGGGATTCTCCAGGGGTGCTGGTACCCTCCTGGGGTAGTCTATCATCATTTAATTCCGCTACCATGTTGATGGGGTGGGTGGGGGGGTATTTGGGCCTCCAGCCACCTGCACTCACCAGATGAAACGCGGAAGCAGAGCTTCCACTTCACACCGGTATTCTGTGAGGTCGTGGTACCCGGTTTGAGCCGGCCCATACGTGCTACTGCAAAGCTGCCGCGTGGCTCTACCACTGTTAAGCGATGAAACTTATTAACCGATGAAAATAATTCCTTGGTTTTTACTGACATTTGACATACACACCATCAAGAGATTTTTTTTTCACGTCACAACTCTACAGCGCCTAGCGAGTGACTGATTCAAGTGCGGTGTATGCTGTATGCACTAGTTGAGTGGAATAGAGCAACGGAGTAGCTGAATGAAGTGTCATCTCTAGTATATAATAGCTCAATGTTCTATACATATTTTTTAAAACATTAAGCAATTGGGTTATGGAGTTCTATTTTTAAATAAATTTCCTTTTTAGAAACATATATATCACGGGCCGTGCGTTGCATTTTTAAATTTCGAGCATCTCAAAACTCATTGAGTGACGTACGTATGCACAATATCAGTTGTGTCTGAAATCAAAGACCAGTTTAAATGCAAACCATAAATAATTATAAGTTTTTGGATACAGAGGTATCCTGAGTGTCTAAGACTCTCGCTGACTCTACATCCTCCTATCTTTCGCGTACGTTGCGTTGTGTGTGTTCAAACGGTATGTTCATAAAAGGTCGGGGAAAAAGTTTCTTCGTATTTTATAAACAAATTCAAGACATTGCGTCCTCCTTTCTGCCAAGGAGGGTCGCGTTTGTATACGGCTTAGAGATCTCTCGTCGGATCGGTAAGCCAATCCATAAAGGCGGTGTTTAGTGGGTAAAAGTCTCCACATAACCACGCAGCCGGCTGCCTGGTATGCTATGAGCATTCACCGCCTCCCTCCCCCGCTTTCCAGAGGGTTGCCCATATTTGCTTAGGGCGCACTAAAAAAATTCAAGACATATGTTTTTTCAAAGTTTAATTACATTTAATTATAATATACACACCGGCACAATTAGCGGAACAGAAAAAAAGTGAGACTATGAGATAATAACGCATATATTTGACGAAAATGTAATTAGACACAAAATAACAAATTGATTAACATCTTTTAACAACGACGACGAAGTCTTCGTTATTTTTTATTGAAAAATAAAGAAATTTGAAATAAGTGAAATTTTTAGATGATTATGAACCATCACAAAAAATAAAAAAAAGTAAGCATTAAATGATTTAACAATAAAATTAAAGCAAAGTTAATAACGAGTGTTTCCCCCTCTTGCTCTAATTACGGTTTCCATTCGTCTGGGCATGCTACAGATTATGTTATCGATGATTTCTTTAGGCAACCGCTCCCACTCGTCAAGTAATGCGTTTCCAAGTTCATTCAGATTGTTGGGGGGTGGCATTCTGGATTTAACCCTCCTTTTTAGCAAGTCCCAGACAAATAGGTACATGATTCATTAAGATTCTTTGAATGAGCTCGTGTGGTACCCAAATATCGAGCTTTTTTGTATAGCCAGACTTTTTCAAATGGGTCAAAACTGTTTTGTGGTCAATCCTCAATTCCTCGGCTATGTTGTAACTAGGTACTATATGCCGATCTTGTTCCACTTTTTAAAAAATGGCATCGAATTTATCCTTATGAGGGCAGTTGTTTCTCGTCAATAACGCAAAGTCAAGAATTCGCATTTAGAAAAAGCCAAAATAAGGCCTTTTCGGTGCTAATTAGGTGCGAAGCTTAAAAATTAGGTGCTCTAAAATTTTCAGCAACGTATCGCTAGCAACGCAGTAATGATAATAGATACACGATAAATATTAATAGCAAGGAATTAAGTGATAATTAAGTGCTGCAAGTATAGGCGATGACAAGGCGTCCCTAATAAAAATAAAGTCGTTATTCAGAACAAAGCAGATGCGAAAATCTGGTTACACATACAGGCTTACGAAACACAGCAGAATTAAGCTGCTATTTTACGCTGGCATTTTGTAAGCATAGTACTAGCCAGGTCGAGGCAAATCATTCTCGTCACAACCATAAAGCTGTGGCGTGGCTATACCACCACCAAAAAAATAAAATTACTTTATGTTGACTCGGTGTCGAGCTGCTTTTACAAATTCACAAATATAAAAAAGGTTGATAGCCAGTGCAAAATAAATGAGTTTTGGGTAAGGATTGCTATTAATAACACAGCGTAATTTATGCATAGGTATAACGCTATAAATCTTCTATAGAATGGTTTTAAAACGTTTTTCCAAATAAACTTATGTAGATTTTAAGAGATCTTATGCGAAAAATTTGCTAAAAATGTAAATAAAAACTGTCCTTTATTCTTAATTTTGCCTCCTGTATTCGAGTACATGCCTCACCCACGGAGAAAGTTAATGCTAATGTTATGAAGTTGGTATGAAGGCGGTACCAATGTAGTGTGAATAGCACGCCGCATTTCATACAAACCTACCAGGGTTAAAATACTTCTACTCTGGTTACCTTTGAAATGGTTGCTACGGTAAATTGTGGCAAGATAATAATGTTTGATTCATCTCGGGAACTAGGAACATTACAACTAAAACAATTTAAGTACATTAAAGAAATGTATAAATCTATTTAAAATAGATAGTGTTATTAAACTAAACCAGTCATTGCGATAAAAATAGTATTGTTATTGCTGATTGTAGTAGTTTTCGCGGGAAAATGTTCACACCGTGTGAGTTGTGAGCAAGCAAAGCAAAGGCAAACTTCTCTTTCGTTTGGCGCCAGTTTAAACTCATCCGTCACAGATAGTTGACGTAAAGTTGACGCAGCTATACATATTCGGGTAAAATGCGCGCTTTGTCACGCGAAAATTATATCACTTTTTAAAGATAAATGTGATAGTTTGTTAAGTCTATAATGTGATAATAGTTAGCTTTTGCATTGAGTTACTTTCCCTGTGATATTTAGACGAACTTTATTTAAATATTTTAATAGAAAATAATTAGAAAAAATGGCAGAGGAAAAGTAAGTACGAATTTTGATTAATAATAATAATAATAATAATAATAATAAATCATTTATTGTGGACCAAAACTTTTATACATTGTTCACACCCACCAAACTGCGTAACAGTTTGTCGGCGGGATTAGCGCTTGTCTTAATACATTTGGTTCAAATACGTAACTATAAACTAATGAAAATAAAAGTGTAAATAAAGCAAGTTTTAATTTTTTTTTTTAAACCGGTATTAAACTATTATTAAGAAATATTTACTAAAATTTAGCCTATTATATAAAAAAAAACTACTGCTTTTATTAAGAATTACTAATTACTAACATTTGGCCTATAGAAACTACTACTAATATTAGGATTTACTAACTTTTTCACATCTCTCAACAACTTCGTTAAGGAAAACAGATTTCAATTTATTTTTTAATGTTTGTTTACTTATTCTAGTATTATCCTCTCTCAGCCAATCGAGGTCATTAAAAAGTGTGGGGGTCAAATATTTGTTGGTTCTTTTCCCATAGTAGTTTTTTACTGGTGGTCGCACGAGTTTACGCTCTCTAACGCTTCTAGTATTATACCTATTTTGCACTTGTTCTTTAAATTGGTCGTTATAGAACTGTTCAAGAACCAGCAGGTACTTGACCTTCTCATGTACAGGAAGCATTTTACATGCAACAAAAAGTTTTTCATAATTGTCTTTACATGCAATTTTTGTTTGTGGTTTGACAAGGTATTTTAAAAAACGGATTTGCAACGATTTTATACTGTTAAGATAGGTTTTAAATGTACGGCCATACGTATTTAATCCATAAGTTAGTAATGACTCGGCGAGAGCAAAATAAATGACACGCAACGATTTCTTATTCAACGCTGCATTCAGGATATGAAACTTACTTAACACTGCCCTGAGCTTTGTACACACTGCGTCAACCTGTGTTTTCCAATTCATATTATAGTCCACCCACAGACCTAGATACTTAAATCTACTTACATACTCCAGCTTTTGACAAATACAATTTAAATTTTTATCGTGCATACATTCATATGTGTGGCCCACAATACCTATATCCACGCTCTTGACATTTTTTGCCACTAAGTTGTACGGTGAGTACAGATGCATCACTTTCGTCTTATTAAGGTTAAGTATGATACCATTGTCATGAGCCCAACGAGTAACATTATCGAAGTCACCCTGCAGCACAGCCCTGACCTCTTGTATATTCTTAGAGGAATATATAAGGCATATGTCATCCGCGTACATATATACTCGAGATTTTTTTAACCACATTACTGACGCTATTGACATGCATAACGTAGCCAACGGGACCATAGACTGAACCAGTTGGAACACCAAGCTGTACCGCTGCTTCTTTACCAGCAACACCAGAAATGCAGGTTTGTAATGTTCTGTCACTCAGATAACTCCGAAACCACCTATTTGTTGGACCCCTGATTCCACACTCATCCATGGCCTGTAACAGCATCTCATGATCCAAGGTATCGAAGGCTTTTTTAAAGTCTATGAACAGCGCCAGGACCTGATGGCCCTGGTGCAGACTACTGTTTATATCTTCGGAAAACTGTGATAGTGCTGTTGTGGTGCTACGACCATGCCTAAAACCGTGCTGTGCATCCGCTAATATGCTATTTTGCTCCAGGAATTCGCTGACCTGGCCGACTACCATCTTCTCAACTATTTTATTAATGACCGATAAGATAGCAATCGGTCTATAGTTAGCATACTCTGAGTGCGCTCCCTGCTTGTAGATGGGCCTGATTAAAGCTTTTTTGAGTGTGCTAGGATATTCCCCTTTCGATAAACACAGGTTGACAAAGTGTGATAAGACCGGCGAGATTCTATCCTTGATTATTTTTAGGTCCATAACTCGAATGCAGTCAGTGCCTGGCGCCTTACTACAGCTCAGCTGATCGATAATTTTACTCACTGTGTCACTGGTAGCTGGTTTAAAGCGAAACGTTACATCACTTTCTTTAACATATTTACTTCTATCTAATAATTTAATACTACAATTATGTTTAATAGCAATAATTTCGTTCGTAAATGTATCTGCAAATTGACTACATATATTGTACATTGTGTTTTTATCTCCAAAATATCTTTTAACTATATCATCTATATTTGCTTTCTTCCTACCTGTCCAGCTATTAATTTTGTCCCAGATTTTTTTTGGGTCTCCATTACATTTCTTGATTTCTTCCTGCCGAAACCTATTTTTTGCTTTAAATATTAATTTATTTACCTTATTTCTAAAACGTGTATATTCGAGTCTTTTCGTATTATTGTTTGGTGTTTCTTTCCAATCCCTAAATAACTTATCCCTACGCACTATCATTTTATTTAAATCTCTGCTTATCCACGGTTGTGTGTCCCGTTTTTTAATATTTGGCATTACAGTCTTACTATTTTCATAAATATCATTGAAAGCATTTTGCAGCTTACAATACAACTTTAACGGACAATCAATGAACAACAGTTGAGACCAATCATACTCAGTGATCTGCTTAGCTACTAGGCTATTATTAATTACAAACCGAGTGTCCGAGTCCGCGCTGTCGGTGCAGTGTTGCGTCACATGTTTACACGGCACCGAGATTCCCACCACATGATGATCCGACATGGAGCACTCAATGATGAACGAGTAGCAGTCCCGCAGCTGTCTTGCTCGCACCCAAACATGATCGATACACGACGCTTCTCTTACACCCGCTACGATAGCCTCTCGCGTCACCTCCGTAACCGGTATTACGCACTGTAGGCCTAGTCCACATAGGCAGTCCTTATATTTTGACACCAGTTGATTTTCACTCACTCCTAACAGGTTTATGTTGACGTCACCTAATATGATAATATCCTCGCTCGCTGGGATCTTCGTAATTATCTGCTCCATTTCATCAACGAATAACGACCTATTCGTTTTTGGTGGTCTGTAGACTGCAATTATATTAAGAATAGAGTGGTCAACAGTGAGTTTACCATAAAGCCCTTCCAGTGAACTCGTTAGGGTTTTGTGTGCATTGAAACTAAGATACTCCTTAGCGTAAATAATCACACCCCCTCCTCTTTTAGTCTCCCTCGTGTTTGCAAATAGATTGTACCCCTCCATGTGGTATAGATGATAGCTCATTGTTGTTAATGTTTGCCTCTGTCACCACTAGTAATGCTAACTCCTCAGAGCATTTTTTTACAAACACTTGCAATTCATTAAAGTTTTTTCTTATCGACCGAATATTTATGTGTAATATGTGTAAATATTTATTGTTGCAAGATATACTCCGAACCCAGGAATTCGCTGTTTTAAATCTTGTATATTGACATTCCAGTGTGATAATTGCATCGAAACGATCACCTTTTACTTGATGTTATTGAGCTCGCAGTGTTTACTTCGCACTAAGTGTGCGTGAGGCTAGTGAGACCAACAACAACATCTAGCTAGTTGCCGTATTTAAATTGTTTTCTATATATTTTTCAATATCACGTTCACTCTTAATTGACATTATTTTCTTCTGTTCATCACTCTTTCTTATGAGTATTTTTCCATCCTGTACCCAAATGTACTTGTAGGTTTTCCTAAGCTGATTTTTAGTAACCCATAAAAGGTTCCTTTTATATCTAGTGAGATTCTCATTTATATAAATACGGTTGTCGTTATTTGTACCATAAATTTCGCCATTGGTCAGAAGTTTTTTGCGACTTCTAATCCACTTATCACGAGCCTCTTTCGTTCTCAGCGTTACAACTACTGGCAGTGGCTTGTCGGCATCTGGTTTTATACGGCCTACCCTCTCTGCGTGCTCAATCTGGCTAACATCCATATGGAGTTTGTTGGCTACCTGGATTATTATTTTCGCTACATCTTCATTTTCCTTCTTTTCCAGTCCAACTAATTCCACCTTTTTTTCCTTGTCTTTCTCTTCCAGCTCATTCACACGTTCTTCCAGTGCTTTGTTACACTTGATCAAGTGAGCATTCATGTTTTCTAAGGATTTTATTTTTGTTTCGGTCGACTTCTGGTACTCCACTAGGTTATCATACTTTTCTGATACAAAATCAACCAAATCGGCCAGCTCACTCAGCTTCTTCTCCATTTTGTACACCACCTCCATTTTCCTATTCATATCAGCCAGAGTCACTGCAATATCCGGTTCATCAACAGCAGGCGAACTAGTACACGATCCGGGCACGGAAACACAATCTTCACATTTTTCATTTTTGAAGGTAGTTCTCGTAACGCATTTTTTATGGAAGACTGCTTCACATGCGCCTTTACATTTACTAGTCTCCTCTTTTGCGATCGACACAGTCTTATTGCATTTCTTACACTTCACCATTATTAATGCTTATGCGATATTGGAAACCGTCTTTTAGATATTTATGCACAATTACGTACTTGACTTAAGTGGATCTACGATACAACAGCCGTACGCCAAGCGCGCGCGTACACGACTGAAATAATTTATCATATTAGCAACAATTTGTTTTTACTGTTACTAATACAACAGGCTTTAAAGTGTTTCGGGAATTCGTGAGTTTTGACAACAAATTAATATTATAATAAGACTAATAGGTATTATTATCTGTGCTCGCACCACGAACTAAACAAATGGGTTACGCAAGTAGGTTCGCTTTGTGTTTGAATTCGTATGTACAATAAAGTCCCGGTGTTGGGCTACTTAAAATTTTATAGAGTGCGTAATTTTCAGATCGACATAAAATGTAACAGTAAGCGACTAAAAGGCGCATTCTGAAAGGAGATAAATTATTAATAAAATAATTAAGAACCGGACAAATAACTCTATGTGTGTAATAATTAAAACACAAAATTAAAAAAAAATATTGTTACGAAAAGACCACGTTTGCATAGAATTCCCGAGTGTAATAGAATAAAACTGCTGCTGTGCTTCGTATGGTGAGTGATAAGAACCGGAACCCCTTCTTTATTGATATGGACGAATTCATCAGAGTCTTCACGGACGACAGCTTCATCATCATCATT